AAGTGGTTGAGTAAATGCATAAATAAATGAGTGAGTGAGAGATGAGTTGGGCTACATGATCTCTGAAATTGCTTCCTGTCTCTGCTATTCCAGGAGTCTAACCTTTATATGCTGTGGTATCCATTCATTGTTTAAAAGAAAAACTTACTATGATCTTAGAAAAATTAGGAGTGACATTAAATTCCAAAGCATTTGTATGATGTAATAAAATTCACTTTTTATTTTATTTATTGTATTTAGGAACCTCAATACAATCCTATGGTTTATTCCAGCAAGTTCAGCTTATCTAATGTGGCTAAAAATATTCTGACTAATCAGATATTCTGTTAAGTGTATTAGGACACCATCAAGAATTATAGAGGTGGAAGAATACACATTCATGTATAAAAGAGTAGAGATTATAACATTTTGGTCTACAATTTAGGGCACAATATTTCAGGACTTACACTGTATAATAAAATTACCTAAAACAGAGTATTATATACTTTTAAAATACTTTTAGGTGGAGCATATTTTCTCCAGTTCAACCCATCCCCACCACTTTTCTTAAAGTGTGACTTCAACCTGTTTCATTTGTTAATTTTACCTCTCTGGCCTCTGAAGGTATTACCATTGCTTTTCCACCTTGAAAGTTTAGACTCGGGGACCTAAATCGGGAACAGTATTGATTGTTAACGGTAAGTGAGAGATGCAGAATAGAGTTTAGATTCTAGGTACACACAGACGCTTTCTTCTTCCTTTCTCCTAAATTGTAGATAGCTTGTTTCTTCACCTGACCAGTTTCAGGCTGAGAAACTGGATCAGAGACAGAAGACCCAGATGGGTAGCGTGGAGCCTAACTGAGCCATGTCTGAACGCAATGGTTAGAGTGGAGAGAGGCTGAGAAGAAGGGAGAGATTGGGAGGATGGGAGCAAAAGGGTAGAGTAGAGAGTACAGGGGAATGGACAGAGAGGAGCAGGGGGAGCTGTTTGCTTCTCATTCCCTATTATCAAAATATGGCCCATCCCATACTTCCTTTTGCCAACGAGGTACCTAGTAAGCGGCTGAGAAAGAAGAGGAAGCTTCTTTTTTCGAGAGAACGTAATGTAGGCCAAAGCATTCCTTCTTCCCTAGGCCAATGAAGAACCCGAAAGGAAAAGTTACCCTTAGCTACTGCAGCCTCCACAGTGGGGAATGACTACTCCAGGGGCCCCAACACCACTCACGTTAAAAAACATATTGGATCAAAAGGGGAAGATGTTCTATTTTTACAGCCAACTTCCTGAGTGTATGGTTTTTCTCCCCTTTCTCCAGTGTGTCTGCTGTAGTTTAGACACTCTTCTCGGGATTCATTCAAGTAAGCCAGTGGTCCTCAAGAGTAAACTTGCATTAGAATCGCCTGGAGATTAGAATCACCACAGATGGCCGAGTCTCTGACTGAGTGTGACGTGGGGGGTGATCATTTGCATTTCCGACATAGTACGAGGTTATATGGGTGCTGCTGGTCCAGATGAAAATTTGGCTCAGACCTCTACTTGGTGAACCACTGGAGAAAGCACTTACCATTTGCCCCGATGTCCCGAAAACTCAATATACAAGCCCGTTGAAATAGATTAGTAACATCTGCCACCTCGTATACCTGGCTAGCCCAGCCCCAGTCCCTTCTAGCCACTCGCTGGTGTGACTCCCTTTGTTGTCCCCAGGTCTCTATCATAAGACCTGAGCCTTGGAACCAACGTCTTTCTTTGGCCAGTTCAGGTCACTTCCTCTCCTCAGTTGGCTTCTCCTAGCCTGTAGATCCTTTGAGAAAGAGTTTTTCACTCTAATTTGTCAAAGTCTCTTCACTCCCACCTCAGGCCAAAGTTCCTTCCTCACCATTGCTGTGACCTCTGATCAGGTTAGTATCCACTTGGCTCTTTCCCTGGCTGCAGGCACCGTACATCGCTTAGTTTCCCCGAATTGAGCTCCCATCTGCATGAGCACAACCTGGATTCTCTAGTTCACTGATTCTCACTTCTGCCCCTGTTGCTGCTCAGCCGGAGGTGGGGGCCAGGATCCTCCTTCAGGATCACAGCAGACAGGAAGCTCCGATGCTCCTTCCATGTAGCTGCATTCTCTCTACAAAAGGTTCCTGCTCTTCTCTGCTTGTCCCCACTGTAGTTCAACCTGGAGTCCCACTTTCTCATGCCCTACGCCCCCAGTGCCACCTTCCCAGGGTTACGCATTCTGTTCTTCCTATGTAACACAGCAAATGACAATAGGGCATGTTATTTTGATTTTAATACACTTCCCTTGCTCCAAATCAGGCTTATTGCCCCACAAGGCCATCTCGGCTTCAGGAGAGGAAGGGTTCTTTTTTTGGAGGAGGGAACAAAGTTAGATTATGCTCAAATTATTATTATCAGTTAAAGCTTTATATATAATACTGTACAATAAAATTTACTTTATCCCAAACTGCATATTATATTACTCTTTGATGAATCTGAATGGATCATAATAGTCATTATGAATATTAATATGGGTAATTCAAAATGAAAAAAAAAGGAATTAATAATCATCTGGTTGATAGTGTGATGGATATGTTAGCCTTTAAGTTACTAGAAAGGAGCTAAATTAGAATAGTGCCTTCTGATGGTTTCCGTGAAAATCTGGCTCAGACCTCTCTACCACCTATATTTCAGGTTGTCAATGTTGCTAAAGACTTCCTGACATATGAAACTGCTTAGTGGAGTATAATTATAAAAGCCCAAATAAGAGTTTAAAAATATTAGTATTGAAATTATTTTATTCTATATGGAAGACTTGGGCACATCACTAATCTTCACAATATGTATTTAATTTTTACCAGAATCTAAGGGCACCATCCCCATCTAGCCAATCAGGAAATTCTTGCCTAACTAAAAAGATCTTTAGATAAAAGTTGTCATATCCAATATTTGTATTTTATCTAGTTTAAGACTACAGCATTTCTTTGAAGTTTAATAATTATACATCACAGCTGCCAAAAGAATGTGTAGCAACATTTTAAAGTAAGAAACCCATTTATGTTTTTACGAAGTAAAACTAATTTGTGAAGAAAAAGGAGTCTTTTTCTTTGAAAATTACTTTCAAAGAGTTTCAGGGTCCAACCACCATATCATCACTTCCTCTATACAAATGATCCAGTGTAGGCTGCAGTCAATCGCTACATAATTTTTTATCCATCAAGGCTAATGGAAAGAAAAAAGATGAAAAGGAAATATAGCTTCAAAATCTCTGTTCATGGTCTAATGGCCTATTATTCAGCCCACTTTCTACATGCAGGAAGCTGTCATTAATACGCCATTAAGGATGACATTAAAACTTCTGATCTGTTCTCTTAGGCTGTAAGTTATGCCTCACATAACAAACTTCACTTGAGCTCCTTCAGGTCTGATATCTGTATCTATAAATATCTCTGTGTTAGGTGTATCCTATAGAAGTATGATGTGCATAGTATAAAAATATATGTACCTTGCTTTGAAAAATTCCTTCTTTAAAGTATAAAATCTGATGTATTGAAAAAAAAAGAGGTAGGGGATAGGAGGGAAATGCAATAGATTTGACTCCTTTAATGGCAGACTCTATGTTTGAAACAAGTGTAGACACCCCCAGATGTTTCTATCAACACCATGACCATGACCTTCCATTGAATGGAGTGTGATGTCCAGGCTGACTGAGGCCATTTTCTGAAAGATGCTGCTGTACCACATCTCCCCATTCTAAACAGTTACCCTAGAAAAAGGTTTGGGACGACCTCTCTCATTCCCAACATTTTCCCGTTATATGGCATTTGAGAAAGCAGCATAAATCTTTTCTCTAAATATTCCATTTGACAGTGACGATTGGTTTCTAAAACTTTCCATCCAAACTAGACTCATTAGCATTTGAAGTACCTTTCACCAGGAAGTGGTTGGGGTATTCCTTTCATCTTGACCTTGTTGGGAAGTGCAGAATTCCTGGTTTCTGAATTGGTACAGTGAGTTTCCAAACAGGCAGGGAGACACAACATATCAGGCACCTTCTCCTTTCTAGCCCTTCCCCATCTGCCTTGCTCTTGTTCTCAGGTCTCTATCCACCTCTGACTCACACCTGACCTCACTCTAAGAGCAGTTCTGGTTATGGAAAGGGGGTATATAAGAGGTTGCTACATCAGGAGGTCACTGGCTCAGGATGGAACTCCATTCCACCCTGAGATCAACCATTTAGTATGTAGACCTCTTGTCCACCTCCTCACCCACTTGTGATCACTCAGATTCTTGACCTCAGCTCCTGATCCTTTATTCTACAGTCTCCTGACTTGGGTTTACATCTCTAGTGTCTTGCTTGCCTGTCTTCTGCTGAACTCTTCTTCTTGGACTTAATCTATAGTCTTCCTCATCTCCCAGGCCCTGTTTGACCTTTTATAAACCAACTGTGGCCTGTTGCCACCCAAGTCCAGAGGGAAAGGACATCTGAATCCTTGAATATGTTGTGCTGCCAGAAAACTATGTGACTTCATTCAAGTGGCTAAACCCTCCTTGAAATCTGTCTCTGTCTGTGACACCAGGGGCTGTATTGGGTCATCTCCAGGGTCTCTAAGAACTTGAAAACTCTGGGAGCCATGGGGCTCTACCCTGCCTCCCTCCATCTTCTGACTTCATTTCAAAAAATAACCAAGACTACAAAATACTGTAACATGCAGGTAGGACTTCGTTACCCATCTAGAAAGATAAACTTGGCCCAGCTGGTGTGGCTCAGTGGATTGAGCATTGTCCCATGCAGTGAGAGGTAGTTTGTTTGATTTCCTGGTCAGGGAACATGCCCGGGTTGCAGGCTTGACCCCCAGCAAAGGGGTGTGCAGGAGGCAGCGGGTGGATGTTTCTCTCTCACATCGATGTTTCTATCTTTCTTTCCCTTCCGCTCTCTCTAAAAAAAATAAATTAATAAAACATATATGAAACAAAAAGAAAAACTTGGAACGATCACAGCATTTACCTTTATTTGCATCACATTGTATAGTTTACAGTGTGTGTAAGGCGGTATGTTGAGAACCTTGTTTTATGCCCGTGTACCCAGTGTTTGATGGGAGCTCCTCCACATAAGCAGCAGGAAAATGGCCTTTTTTTCCATTTAAAGATCCAAACCACCATCCTTCTTCTTTCTTGTGTATAGTCACAATGTCACCTGTGAAAATGCACATTGAGTTAGACAAATGGGTCTCTGCGATTTGAGCATGTGCCTGAGCCCATTTGGTGAGACAGTTTCGAGAGAGTCTGCTTTCAAGCAGCTATGGCGGCGTTGTTTTCTGCAGGTGATTCAGATGAAGCAAAATGTATGGACCACCTCTGTACGGAGCAGGCATAATGCAGAGGATATTAAAAAGAGTACATAACGGAGAGCTAAGTTATGGCATAATATAATTTGATTAAAAACAGAACCACACTGAAACATATGTCCTCCTCATGCTGGCTTACTGATTATAGCTGATGGGTTGTCACCAAACCCTTTCTCGCTGTCTGTGCCGTAAAGGTTTCTTATGTTGGTGGCTGCGATAGTTTGGTACGCTGACTACTGCTACCAGATGTTTCTCTAGAGCAAGACAACCTCTCTCCATTACATGTGCCAGCTTCACAGTTCAGAGTTCCACCTTTGCACAGAAATATAACTCCTCATTCAAAATTTAGAAAACTTTACTAAAATACCAATTTGAAGACAATACTTTTTTTTTTTTAAGCTGTGATTTAAATAAACAGAATTCCTAAGAAACACATGGCTCTTCTCTAATTCCCTATTTAAAAAATACCATTCCAATATTAATGACCTTGAAGTTCAGCTTGGTGCCCTGGCTGTCCCACTCTTTTGAGAGAGTCCCCCTCTCTCGGCTGCTTTCTGCACATCAAAGCGGAAACGTCACTTCCTTCAGGATCCCAAAGTTACTTTATCTTGAGCATCATTCTAAGGTAATATTTAGTCTTTCTTTCTTTCATTCTGTTTCCCAGTCACTTTTCTTCTTAAGACAAAGGAGATTGTTAACCCCTCTTGTATCTCTCCTCAGCCATAAGTCACTATTTATTCTCATAGGAGATCATTTTCATTTCAAGTTCACTCTCTAATGAGTTTCTCAGGTCAGCCGATTGACACCATTTCCTAACAGAAATTCAAACGGATAATTTAAAATCTTCCTTCCAGTTTCCTTAAGCCCCCAATGTCTCATTTCACTTATAGAACCCACTTAGGATATGAGGTGTAAGTAGGCTTTGCAACTAAGGAAGAACCAAAGACATACAAGATGGTCCATTTACTGTATAACTGTGTAACTCAAACTCAGGACCCTGGGCTCGAAACGGCATCTGGGAAATGTGGTTTTCACGTATACGGAAAGTGGGAATACAGCATTTCATTCACGCACCCACTGCAGTTAGCACCCTCAGGATGACATAATGAGTAATGAGGTGACTTCAATAACATTTAAAACCTTTAAATAAAGACAGCATTGACTTAAGAAGAACGGAGGAGAGGATTTCCTTTTATTCTTATCTTTACTTATTTCTGCATTAGAAGGAAAAGCAACTGCCTGGAGAAATCTGACTGGCAAACTGCAAAGGAAACACCCACGAAGCAGTAGCAAATACATGGTGTTCCTGTTTTGGCTGCAAATTCCATCTTCATGTTCCCTTGGTTCTGGGTGCTGTGTCCTGTTCATGGAGAAATGCTTATTCCTATGACACAACCCTTTCTCACTAACCTCTTCATCTCTAGGTCTCTGCTTTAGCGCTCACATCCAAATGTGGTTGCTAAATGGACACACAGAGAAAGTTGAGGATGGAGGTGTTTTCTTGTTTAATAATGTCGAGGTCTATAGAACCCATTATGTAAAACCTTTCCACGTGAAACGAAAATCTCTGACACAGAGAAGGGACTCTGCTTCCTTAGATTGGTCATAAACACTTTCCTAAGGGGTCAGTGGGAGAAATAGTGAGCTGGGTGTCCTTTGCCCCGGGTTCTAGAACTTGCTCTCACACTAAGCCATGAGAGGTCCTTCACCTTCCTCCGTGGTTAGCTCTTTGAAAAAGAAGATGGTGGGGGTCACGTCTGGAATGACTTTCCATTACTGCTATTTGACCCCCGTGTAGAGCTGTGACTAAGTATGACTGAGTCTCAGGTTCAGGTCCTGCACCAACACTGCCTGTGACTTTAGCCAAGGTACTTGTCCTTTCTATCCTCAGTCTCCTCAGCAACAAGATGGGAATAAATAGCAATACACACTTCAAAGGGTTTTATGAAGAGTCAATTGGACGATGTGCTTGCAATAACATCTGGCACACAGTAAACACTGAGTAGATGGTAGCTATTTTTATTATGTGAGCTTTATTTTGGATGTGTTTTATCTTTCTCTTCTAAGAAGGGTGACTGTAAACTTGAACTGAGTTGACATGGTAGTAACATTTCAGGCTACTGTACTAAGTAAGACAGGTTTTATCCAAGTTAAGGATTTCAACAGGGGAAAGCAGTTAAACATTTGAGAATGATTCTTACCTATTTCCAAATTCAACTCATCATCTTGCCTGGCTTGAAAAGAATATAAGGCTTTGCAAAGACTGTTGCCATGCTGGGCCACACCGGAGGCTGAAAGTTGGAGCGAGTTATAATTAACAAATCTGTGTCAGTAAGCGAGAGGAAAAGGAGAGGGAGCTCTTTAGTTATTTAGCAGCATGGTGCAGAGCTTAAATACATTAAAGTCTTCTCAAAAGGAAAGTTTATAATTTTATATACGATTTGTTTCTTGATTCAGGAACCATTTATGATTTACCTACTACGTGTATGGACTATATATATTATATAGTCAACAACTATATCATACTATAGAGAATAAGTCTGGAGAAAAAAGTTATTGTAGTAATAATGATGATAATAAAGACTACAATTTTAAATGATTTGCTTCCCACACAAACTTAATATCAGTTGGCTAATATGTGTGGTACGCATGTTTTACTGTATGCATGTTTTGGAAGACATACACAAGTTTTGCCATTTGGGTTCAGACAGAGGACACTTGCACTTCCCATCATCCCTCAGTACTCGCAGAACTGTTTCTCAAACAATGCAGTGGTGAGTCTCTAATATACCATATAGACCATAATGTCCTGAGTGTTTTTGTTTTGTTTTGTTTTGTTTTTGTCAATTTCTAATCAAGAAACTAGAGAATCAAGGTTATGGTACTTGTAGTTAAACTCTGAGGGACAATAATGTGTGTGTATGTGTGTGTGTGTGTATGTGTGTGTGTGTGTCAGTGTGTGTGTTGAAAAGTAAAAGGTAGTAGGGTGCGGATGGACAAATGACTAAAGTCAGGTAGCTGAATGAAGAGGGTAAGAAGGCCCTGGGATCAGCATGTTTCTGACCTGGAGGTTTGGAGGAAGCCCTGAAGACCGAGCTCAGAGCTCCTCCCATGGCTTAGGGGTGGGTGCTCGTGTGCACAGCAAATTGCAGACTCTGAACAACATGGAACCAGTCATCTCATACTGTAAAGTTCTTTTCCCAACCCTTCACTCTTCTTCACTGCTTCACACTTTTTGGATTACATCTGCACAGAAAGGTACACATTCTACCAAATAAATGAGTCTTAATTTAAATGTGGATTTCTTTGAGCTGACTATATCAATGAGGCTCTGAAAAGAAAATGTAAATATAGCAATGTGCTTTACTGATAGGACTTAGGCCAAAATTGTTCTGGGCATGGGATTACCTGTCGATGGAGAACTTGGATTGCTCTGCCCACCAAACGATGCTCTTCTCACAACATTCTCTGATCTCTTCATCAGAAAAGGTCGAGGTATTCTTACATAACTATGTGTCTGCTGCTGTTCAAACAATTTTTTTAAGTCATTTTTAACAACACAAGTATTCATGAAAAATAATTCTACTGTAGCTGTTTTCCTTAGGAATTTGTTTCTTTTATTTTTTGGAGGAGGGTACAAATAAAGCATTAACTACATTCTTAAACCCTACTATAGAGTTTTCTTGTATCTGAAGCCTTAATGTTTTCAGAATTAGACAATTACCATATTTTATAACCTGTATTTGCAGTTCTGACCTGTACCTATGGCAAAATCATAATAGTCACAGCATTATCCAACAAATTGAACTTTAATGGGCTTTAATGCAAATCATGGCTCTGTCTAAATGATTGAGACCATTTCCTTCCTCCTTCCCTTCCTTTCTTCTTTCCTTCCTTCCTCCCTTTCTTTCTTTTTTGATTGAGACCATTTTCCTGTTAGAGTCTCTTAGAAAGAAAATTATCCCTTCATTACAAGATGGTTACAGCACCCCCTTCTGATAGGAAGTGGAAAACAGCTAATAGCAATAGTTAACCCACGCATATTCACATATTCACCATCAATTCCTAAAGAGGGGAACACAGGGCCCTGGCAGGTTTTGCTCAGTGGTTAGAGTCCTGAACTGAAGGGTCCAGGGGTTGATTCCCAGTCAAAGGCACATACCTGGATTGCAGGTTAGATCCCTGGCCCCATTCAGGAGGCAACCAATCGATGTATCTCTCTGACATCGATGTTTCTCTCTCTGTCTCTCCCCCTCCTTCCTTCCTTTCCACTCTATCTAAAAATCAATGGAAAAATATCCTTGGGTGAGGATTAACAAAAAAATAAATAAATAACATTGAAAAATAAAATAAAAGAGGGTAACACTGGGAAAATACATGTATGTGATTTTAAAAATTGTGCTCATGCATTTTCTACATTGCATAGTATTTTATTTTTATTTTTTTAAGTTTTGTTTTTTATTGATTTTAGAGAGAGAGAAGAAGAGAGAGGAAGAAAGAGACAGAAACATCAATGAGAGAGAATATCAATTGGCCACCTCTTGCATGGCCCCCAATGAGGATTTGGCCCACAACCTGGGCATGTGCCCTGACTGGGAATCAAACTGGCGACCTCTTGATGCATGGGTCAACACTCAACCACTGAGCCGCACCGGCCAGGCTACATTGCACAGTATTTTAAATGGACGAGACTAATGCATATCATAAATCTTATAATTTAGGTCTGTATGAATACTAAAATTTCAATGTAATAGAAATTTTACTATAAAAGCACTTTAAAAGGATAACGTTAAGGTATGAGTAGGAAGCGAAAGGAATTCAAAGGGCTTTTAACCACTCATATTCAGTATACAAAGAACATATTCAGTTGTGTTTAGCTCTGTTACTCCACTCAAAAGGAATAAAATTAAATTTATCTTAAAATTCTGCAGCTGAGATTTGGGGCATATGGAATATATAATTATTAATAACAGCCTTTTTGCTCTTTCAAAACCACTTCACCCAGCAAGCCTAGTCAAGAAATTATAACCAACGTCTTAAATTTTTACCTTTTCTTTCCGCTTGAAGATGAAGTTACTACAAGGATGGCTGGGTTGAGGTCTTTGCTCAAGTTCTGCTAACACTGATGACAGTTTATAGGCATTTGCTTGCAACAGGTCTAGTTTCAAATTGGTCTGTGGATACATCATTTGGCCTTGTGAGTAAATTTCTAGAAAACGAGGCACAACTGCATGGGTAAAAGGATATCAGGATAACAAAATGACAAAGGTGTCTGGAAAAATACATTCAACTCATATGCAGATATACACAGAAAATGCTGAGAGGAAAAAATGGACCCTTTTCCTAGAGGAAAGACTTAGTTGTTGAGTGTGTCTTATTCTGGACTCTTGTGCACAGGGTAAACCAGAAAGTCGATAGATGTATTGCTCAGAATTTGTAGCAATGAATAGCTTTACCCAATTTTCTTATGAGGAAGGAGAGAGGGAATAACAAGTGTTGACTGCAGAAGGTAGACTCCGGGAGGCCTTGAGGAAAGGCAACTGAGGCAAAGGCGCTCCACATTGTGAACAGAACTGACTCACAGCAATCGAATCAAACTAAAATGATGCAAGGCAGGGTTTATTTATTTACTTTGGTTGATGCTGCTCACTGTTTTTCTTGAAGAGATAAGGTCTTATATTATCCAGAAAGTTCACAGTAACACTTCTGGAAGCTAGAGGGTATTTGATTGTAAAAATAAAGATTGAAGCTCAAGATACATACACTCTTAGGCTCTTCTTGTTCTCTATTTGACCTTGAACTAGAAACTTTATAATGACTTCTTTGTCAGGCTGTGTCCAATCAGGGTAAATCAAAGAACAGAATCTACACATGAGAAGGGGCCTGCTTATCCCATCTCCTCCTCACCATCACCTTTCCGTTTCCCATACATCCAGCATGAGGATTCCTAACCCTAACATCCCTGCCAGACCCCGCCAATCAATGAGGGAGGTCTCTATCCTGGGAACACTCGCTGCACTGAAATCAACCCCCATACTCCACTGGACCTAGTCTGCGTCAGAGAGCATCACAGAGCAAGTCTCGTCCCCCTCCTAGGCACTCTTTCCACACCTGCAGACGATACCTGCAACCGTGCCTCAGAGAACAAGCCTTGCCAACATTTTTGCTTCAAATATGGCGCTTTCAGGACCAAAAAATAGTGAATTAGAAGAATTGAATGAAACGGAGTGTCCTCTTGAAAGAAAACCTCCCTGGGTGATGAAAAATCTACCAATATCGCAAGTTTGCCTCCAGCAGATGTGGGGGTGTGTAATAAAATTACAAGGACACTTGACACCTAATCCTTGAAGGCGTGTACTCGTTCCTTCACTAGATACAAACAATGGGGTTTTAAGGGTCAGAGCCTCTCCTTCCTGGCATCCTCCACTGTGTGAATCAGTCCAGTTGTGTCCCCAGCTGACTCTAATACATGTTCTACACTGGTGATGACAATGATAAAATTCTGCTCAGGAACAACCAAAGAAATAAGATTATACAGTCATCCCTCGTTTATCGTGGTGCATCCATTCCAGACTCTAGCGGTTGCACCTGGCGTTGAAGGATTCCTGGGGCTCGAATCCATAGGCCTACAGTCCATCCGTACAGTAATTTTCATTGTAATTGTAATGCAGGGGTGTATAATTGACTCAGAAAACCGAGAGCACGCTGTATCATTTTCACTGTCTCAATCAACCTTTTAATGAATATATTTGAAAAAACCATGATAGAGTGAAGCTACAAAAGTCGAAGCATGAAGTGGCGAGGGACGACTGTAAGTTAACGCCATCATAAAGTGCTCCAAATGACCTTATTTTAGTAAATATTTGCATTGAATTAGTTAACTAATTTTGTGTTGTCACAAATGTCTTAGAGTCTTTTATAATTTCATAAAAATGGTAGCCCTGTGTCATTGCAAGGATGTTAGACCTCCGTTTGCAAATGCATAGAATTCAAGCTTTTTTTTTCACAAGAGTGTTAGGTTTGTTTCTGCAATAGCACCCCACTAAAGGAAGCCTGTGCTAAAAAATAGATAAACTGTGCCTGGATACCTCTGTCTATTTTTTCCAAAGAACTACTGAAATTGCCTGTTTGGACAGAATTATTAGGTAGCTACTCACAAGAGAATTAGTTAGGTTATATCAAGGTAAGAGAGGCTTGTCCAGTTTCCTGTATCTTCAAAACATTGAAAACATTTTTTTTTATCTCTTCCTGAATTTTTCTCAGAAAAGATAACTTACCAACTTCCTCTCACTCTAATCACAGCAGAAAACCCCGAATCTTGCACACATGGGTAATAGCATTTGTTTGCTTTATTCCTATGTAAACCTCACAGACCTTTATAACTGCCTTTTTAATGTCGGTTCCTCCAAAGTTGCCACCTTGTCCATCAATCCCTACATGTTTCTTTCCCCCTGTTATTCTCAAAAGACCCTGATGTCAGTTGAGGAATGAATGGAGAACAGCATTTTAATGATAATTAGTTTTTCAACTCTCTGCACACTGTGCTATCATTTTCTAAATACTCGTTAATTCTCACAGAAACCCTTTGAGGTAGGTACCAGTATCCCATTTTACAGATGAGAACACTGACGTTATCCCAGGTCCCGGGAAACAGCAGAGCTAGATAGATGCAAATACAGGCCTTTCTGAATGTAGAACCTGCATTTTTGGTCACAGTTTCTTTAAATGGGTTAAAAGTCCCAATGGTTTCCAGACCCTGAGAAATGATTCTATTTTGGAGAATTCTATTTTAGGCACAATTTTTCCCCCCCTGGGAGGAGACTAAAGCAAACATTTCTAAATAGTTGGATTTTTCCAGCTCTCTCAACTCCTTGCCAAGGACCTGATCCTACAAGCCCTCTGACTAGGTTGTTCTGTGTCATGCGAAAGGAGAGGCGAACAGAGGTCAAATGGGCCGGAAAGCAGCATTCTAGAAATGAGCCACTCATCACTACCTCTAGGAAACTGCGCTCTTGGAATGTTTACCTCGTCCATTAAGGCCGCTGTGCTTCTCTGGATCTCTGGGTCTGAGGAGTCGCTGGAGTAAGCTTTCAGCATTCGCTGGAGTCCTGAAAATGAAATCACGCTCTCAGTCACCATCCTCCTGTCCTGGGCGACACGCCTGGCAGGAGGCCCCACTCCACGGGAACCCAAGCCCAGAAGGATTTTCTGAATGGCTGGAGCTGTTTCCTAGGTAGTTGTTACTCCATGTTACTGACAGGTGACCTGACCTTCATTTAATGAAATGTGAGAAATGCTGGTTGATGCTTAAGGAGTCTTGACTGTTCTTTTTCCAAGATGCGTGTATGAATCCTCCTTGTTGACCCATTCGTGATGGATTTCTGACATTTACCCTACTCCCTCCCCACCTTCACCCACATTTACAGGTGAAAACATTTCTGCTGTCTTGGATTTCCTGTCAAGTATTCCCATAATGGTTTCCATAAAATCAGCTGTACACATCACAGTCAAAAGTGGGAAGTCGTTTTTATTATCTGTGTCTCTTTAGAGAGGTTTCCCATTCTAACAGGCCCCCCTTCTAAGTATGGGATTTAATCTGAATGCTTTTTACATCATTTAGAGGGTTCGTTTAAAAGGAAACAAACAAGAAAACCAAAACCCTGTGCACAGGTTTACTGTGTTTTATACCAAACAAATTGCCCCTCATTCCAGCCAATGCCAGAAACACAGTAAAATGCTGCATTTCAGGAGAAGGTGGGGTGGGACTTACAGGGTTCTCACAGACAGACCAAAATCTCATTTTCAGTTTCTTGTTCTTGCCTTCCTTTTTAAGACTTTTTTCTTTATTCACACAAATTAGGTTTGAGACATGAGTCACCAAAAGCAGAATCACCCAACTCTGAACAGAAAGACTTTCCTGGTCAGGCCGTTCACAGAGGGAATCACACACCTTCCCGGTCGTTCAAGGCTTTTTCAATATCTCTTTGCAGTCTCAACAGTTTTGATTTTATTGAAGACTTTTGTCGGTCCTTATTCATTGCATTGTTGGGATCTTCTTCCTTTTCAGGGAAAGAAAAAGATATTTGACAATTTAAAGGGGAAAAATGAGTTTTCTCTCCTAGTTGTATTGAGACGTTCACTGACTGTATTTCATTTTCACAGGATAGAAGAGAAAAGTTAAAACAAAACAAAACAGGTGACCTTTGGTTTTATACAGATTGTTCTAGACCTACTTAATGAGAACACACCTCCTGTTCACAACTTGTAAGTACATAGCTGAGCACTTTCTTTAGCAGAACAAGTTATTCTAGGAGGATGTGCCTTACTATAGCTATTTCATAGCTTCTTGATAAGTAAATCTATTGTATACTTTTTATTTTTTATATATTTTTGTTCATCCTCACCCGACAATATTTTTCCATTTTAGATAGAGTGGAAGGAAGTGAGGGAGAGAGAGAGAGAAACATCGATATGAGAGAGACACAACAATTGGTTGCCTCCCACATGACCTTGACCAGGGTTGGGGATTGAACCTGCAACCCAGGTACATGCCCTTGATGGGGAATTGAACACAAGACCCTTCTGTCTGTAGGCCAACACTCTCACTGCTGAGCCAAATCGGCCAGGGCTGTTGATACTTATTGTTCTCTATTTATCTTTATTCAAGTTAGAGCCCTTTAAGTATCCTCACGTACTATCATGAATATGCCACAAGCTAGTCTGCTTCAGGAGTGGAACAGATATTTATTGTGTTCTGTGTTGCTGGCTATTGGGAATGCATGAACTAAAACACAAATGCTGTTCCCAGAATGGGTTTCTCATTTAGTTAGACCTTGAAGCACAACATAAGAGACCTGGCAGTTCAAGGCCACGTTCATTCATGAATGGTGCGGGCAAGAATGCATGGCCCACCAAGGGCAGGGCATGGGCACCAAAGCTTTGAGGAGGCTGGAAGACTAAACCAGGATACTTTGGTCAAGGGTAAGGAAGACAAAGGGACCCCAGGCAGAGGAGCTGGCCCAAGTGAAGGACAAAGGGAGGGCTTCATGAGATGTATCAGGAACAGTAAACAGACCAGTTGCTTAAGCAATAACAGTGGAAGAAAAAGGGGTCTGAGTAGTTTAGGCCAGAGTTTTGGGTAGAAGTAAGGGTTTTATCACATACGCTATGAGAAACCATTAACAGAATCTGAACTTTCACATACATATTTCAAGGGTCGAATAAAAATAAGAATTAGGATGTCAGGGTCAGGTAGGGTGGCAAGGTGGCTGAACGGAGAGCAGAGGGAGAGAAACCTGTGGGGGAAAGGAAACTAATGACTGAAGATGGAAGGAGTCGGGGATTCGGGACTGATCCAATAGGGAAGAAGACAAACTGGGGTCCCCAGTGTCGGTGCAAGGTCAGCTTTACATCAATGTCATGAAGAAAGGGGAGCTGAGGATTTAGAGCAATGTGAACAGCCTTGATATAAATGTAATGTACAGATAAATATATTTCATTTATATATTGTATATTATGTATTATAAAACGTTTCCTAATAGCCCAAGCTGACGTCACACCCCCAGGTGAGTTCTGACTAAACCACAACGATGCCTAACTCCAAGCCTCAGTCCTTACTTGCTGGAGGGATGCACATTGTACCTGGCTCACATACTGTCCAAGACTTCATTCAGTCTGCTTGGGGACACCTACTGTTCAAAGTATATAGATCAAAGGACAGATCACTACAGAGCAACTTGAGGATGGAGTATATTCCTATCGTTTAGCTTTCTTAAATTCCTCCTCTCTTCCAAAGATTGGTTAGAAAGGAGATTAATACTGGAGGAGGCATATAAAACTATGGACACGATCTTTGAACATGGCCTTTACAGTGACCTTATAGATATTTTCACACTGGTAATCAGCCCTCCAGTATTTGTCTTCAGATTGTTCTTCTGTCTCACCTCTTGTCCACGTAAATTTCAGAGCACTAGATAAAAGTCCCTCTGTACGTACTGCCATGACTACAACTTCAGACTCTGGGGGCATTTTGCTTTAGGGATATTAAGAAAATGTTATTCACTTATTTGAAGATAGAGTTCATTATCTTAGACAACAGATATGTAGTCGTTAGTGCTGATGCACTAAAGTTTCATGGAAACCAAAAATTTCATGGGCATGTCAATCAAAAATAATCCACCATGGCTGCCTCCTTATTATTTCAATAAAAGCCTAGACAAATTTCTGAGGAGAATGACCCTTATTTTATTGACAGGTTAGTCTTTAGGGACATTTTTATCATCCTTTTAAGAAAGTAATAGATATATTTTATTGAATATACTCCCATCTCAGGGATCACCGACATGATTTGGAAGAAAAAAAAAAGAAAGAGCTTTCCTACTCCCATCTCTACCTCTGTTTCTGCTTTGAAAAGACATTGCTATTGCTGATTTGCTTTGCTTTTGCCAGAGTAGGAAGAGTATTCAATTAAAAAAAAAAAAATAGCTGCCACTTGAAAAGTGGGGAAGGGGAAAGCTGGTCACCTTCCCAGCTCCTGGATTCACTGCTGGGCCCAGATCGAATGGCCTTTCTCTCTCCTCTCATATCTTGTTCCCAGAGTGTGGATCCTGGGGTCCCGACTCTGGCTACACTCTTAATCGTGTAGGAGGACATGGCCAGTGGGTTGGTTCTATCTACAGAGAAAGACACACCGCCCAATAAGAACCGTGAAAGCCTGAATGAAATCTAGCAGAGGGCCCAGGAAAGAACTGCCAGGAACGCAGAAGACAAAGCATGCACTCCAGCATAGCAAAGAGACAAGATGTCTGGGCTCTCACCAGGGATACCGATCTGTTTTTAGCGCAGATGCCATAGTAGAGTCACCCAAATGCCCTCAAAATAAGCCTCTGTAATTTGGTCCAAGTTTTTCAAAGAAAAGCACAGTGAAGAATGTTGATAACGATTCCCACTTCCTAGGAGTCATGCCTTTGTGGAATCCCCTCAGCTGGAGTGTGGGCTGTACTTACTGACTTGCTTCTGACAAATAAAATACGATGAGATGTCTGTCACTTCGGAGATTAGCTAATACAAGACTATGTTTCTGTCTTGGGCACTCCGGCTCTGGCTCTCGTGGATGTAAATTCTGGGGGAAGCAGGCTGACCCACTCGGCAAAAGAACAATCCCTCCAGCCAGCTGTGGCCAGGACTGGGGGCTGCCATCAGCCATGCAAGGAAGCGTCAAGGGGTTCATTTCCCATAGAGGCTGGAAATGACTGTGTCCTGCCTGACACCTTGATCACAGCCTTGTGAGGGACACAGCGGCTCCCAGCTAAGCCACCCCTGGATCCCTGACCCACAGAAACTGAGATAATAACTGTTTGTTTTCAGCCATTATGTCTGGGGGTAATTCTTTATGCAGCAATAGACAACCAAGATGAGACACAGTGGCTATTTGCCGGCCATGAAACACGTGCTCCTGGCGTTGCTCTCACAGGACACCAAGTACGAAGATTCGGTCAAAAACCTTGTTGGACTGTCTTCCCTTCCAAAGAACACCAAAGACATTGGTCCATTGCCTAGTTTATAAACCACACTGTTTTCATTTCTAAAAACTATGGAAAAAAGTAGTATTTTCCATTTATTAAAAAAAAAATTTCTTTTACAATTGTTTTCAATTTTTTTTTAATGCATCCCTCAGTACTCGATTAATGCTCCCCATTCATGAAACTTCCTTCCATCCCATACTTACAAAGTAATCAGTCAGTAGGAACTCGGGTTTGTTTTCTAGAGATGACACGGCAGTTTCTTCCATCAGAGCCTGGATGTCTTTCTCAACGTCTATCTTGCTGACAGCCCTGTGGATGTGCGTGTGGCACTGCAAAGCCAAGGGAGCAGGACAAGGGTGCTGGGGACACGGTCCCTGCCAGTTTCCCACACAGACCAGAAATGCAGAGATCTTTACTACTCACTGTGGTCAGGGTCCGGCCAAAATCAGAAATATGTTGGGTGTACTGGTTTAAGTTCTTGCATAAAAGTTTAATTCTTTCCTTCTCCAGCTCCAGGATGTTCTGAAAGGAGAGAAAATTGGGTGATATCAGCCAGTTGTTACACAAAACTGATGCCACCCATCTGAGCTAAGTGTCCATTTGTGCCTCTTGATTATGTCACATGCAAACTGGGGTGGGGAGATTCTCGGGACAGGAATGTGATTTGATGTATCTCCTGTTTATCCTTCACTAGAATTTTTTTTGCCCTAAAGGCACAGAGGTGGATGTCATGGGTTACCTGACATTCCAAAAGAAAGGGTAGAAAAGAATCATTTCAAAAGCATTTGTGAGTTCCAGAAAAAGAAAGAGAAGCCCAGTAAAACCCATGTCCATATCTTCAAAATGTAGTCAGAAACTAAATATTTACAGACTTGTTTACAGCGCGCAGAAGGCATTCTGCTGGTTTCTACAGGGGCAAAGATGATGAGGCGCAAATACTCTGCTTCAGGAAATGACTGGGCGAGAGCAGAACCCCAAGTCTGATCAATTCATAATTCTGGCTTAAAATAAAGCCTGGGGTCAGACGGTGGCTTCTGAAGGTGGGAATATAGCCTCCTCGTTTTGTGTGGGATGACGAGAATTCCACTCTTGGAGTTCCATAACTTTTACTTGGGAAGGGTAAATAAGAAAGGGAGGTAGGTCACATGGGCCTTGTCAGCCCTTAACACTTTAGAAAAAGTTAGCTATTCGACTCTTGCCAATCACTGCTAGCTGAGTTGCTGACCAATTGTTTTAAGGGAGTTCGAAGTTCAGCAGCTAGGCATTGTGGGAGAAAGCAGGGTGGGTGGAGTATGCAGAGGATTCCCAGGCCATGTGGGAGCAGCTGGGTGTGTGCCCAGAGGACTTCGGCTGTGACAGAGGTGGCAGGTGTCCAAGACAACATGCTCCTCATCTTGTTTTTGTAAGGAAGAGGCCTGGGCATTCTTTCTTCATCCAGAGGATTGGTTTCTCCCCTGCCTGCCATGCGACCCCACCCCCACAGCAGAGAGCACTCAGCAGTAGTCTTGCATGACTACTTTGAACAGATTGGTGGGTAACATCACCACAGGAAGCAAGAAGCATGGACTACATCTGAAGGCCTCTGACAGGGTGGGGGTGGGAATCACAAAGCTTATTGGCTGCTCCCATCAGCGGGCACACCTGCAGGGCCCACTGGCCTGACCCCCTGTGGTGTTTCTTTACATTCCGGTGAGAAGGCTGCATTCACATTCTGTTGATATTTCATCTGTGGTATACAGGCACTTAAAAGTTTAAAAATTTTATGTATGTTTGCCAATTGTGGTAAAATGTACAAAACATAGACTGTACCATTGTAACCATTTTTAAAGGTACAGTGCAGTGTCACTAAGTACATTGTTGGGCAACCATCACCCTCATCTATCTCAGACACTTTTCAGAAAACTGTGTACCCATTAAGTGGTAGCCCATGGTTCTCCTACCCCCAGCCCCTCTGACAGCCACCATTCTGCTTTGTGTCTGCTATGAGTTTGACTGCTCTAGGGAGCTCATATAACAGGAATCATACAGCATTTGTCCTTTTGTGTCTGGCTTATTTCATTTAGTGTAAAGTCTTATCCTGTAGCATGGGTCAGAATTTCCTTCCTTTTTAAGGCTGAATAATATTCCTTTGTGTGTATAGACTGCATTTTGTTTATCGGTATATGGCCACTCTAACCCTGCTGTGCAAAAGGCTGAGGTGATGACCGTGAACATCTTTGTCAATCACACGCACATTTTGATTCTGTGCCAAGTGTCCTGACATTTGAATCAGAAAGCCTGGAGCTCTGCCCCCAGGACCACTTCTTTGTGGAGTCAGAGCTGGCACACGTTTTGTAAGTCAATGGGAGCCAAACGTCTGTTTCTGGTGTTGGTCTCCTGGGTCTTTCTCCAAAACCGCAGGCACTGGCCATTTGAATGTGGCCGTGTGCCCTCTGTCTCCCACATACAGGATTAAAAGCACTGCAGAGCAGCCTATAAAACATACTGATTCTTCAAAGGGCAGAAACCATATGCCTCCTAACAAATACTTAACACAGATTCTGCTCAGTGGTTTGGATCTCAAGTGGGACAGTCTTCAAAAAGCAAGAGACTTGACAGCACAGAAAAAGACCTAGGAAGCAGCTGTCCTAGTTTAGCACCATGGTGAGCAAAGGACAGGAGAGAAAAGAGAAGCCAGGATTAGGAACACATTGTATCACTGGTGGGCAGCTGCTTCCAGCACCAGTTTGAGACTAGAATAACCAGTGTCTCTTGATGGAGATGGTAATGTTTAACAGATTTTAATTACATTTCAGGGAAATCATGAAAATGATCTATGTTTGCTCATGAAAAGAGGCTGAGATAAATTCTACTGCGCAAAGAGAAAATCCGTATCTCCCTTAATGAATTATTGCTTTCCATTGTTTATTTGTTTGTTAATAAAATAGGCAGCAGAAAAGCAAGATAGTCTGGAAGACCTAAAACTGTCCTCCTGTGCTATGTAGCATATATGAGGAAGTGTGGTCAGAGTTACCAAGAAACAGCAGATTTACAGCTTGTCTGAGGCCCAGGCATCAGGATAATTCACACTCTTCATTCATTCTTTCCAGTTCCTGCTGATGTCCTGGCCTTTCCGATTCTATTACCCGAGGAGCTTGGAGGGACTGCATTTTCATCCAAATTGTTGTCATAAAACTGATCAAAGATATAGGATCTTTATAGAGCAGGAACTCTCAAATTTCGGTATGCCTAGTCATCACCTAGACCTCGTCCTAAAATCGTTCAGAGGATCTATGACCCATCTGGTCTAGGAAGGTCTTAGGAATCTGAATCATAGGTAGCTTAGTGCTTTGAGACATTGTCCTGGGGCCAGAAAACATATTTTTTAATCATTTACAATTCTTCCACCCAGAAATGACCACTGTTAACAATTTGATGTATTTCAGTCTATCTGGGTATGTGTGTATGTATCTTTCTATTTGTCTATCAGATTATTTCAATTGGTATCTTGATTTTTTTCCACTGAACATTATACATAAGCAGTTTCCCAAGTCATTAGTCTTCACAGACATCATTTTAATTAATAGTCCATTGTAAAGGATAGTGCAGAATGTATGGATTCATTTAGTCATCCCCCTAAATGTTGAACATTTGGATTCTTTCCTTCCTTTCTCTTCCAATGTATTTTGACCAGCAATCTGTGGTTTTTTTTCCAGCTACTTTCTTAATATAGACTTACAGAAAGGTAATTATGTGTTTCAACAGGGGTTCTAGATGAGAATTAGGCCCTACTGGCCTACGGCATCCATTGCATGCAATGAGTTACCATCTCCTCTCTGCATCTACGGTGGTACTAGTCACCACCATCCTTAGGAGAACTGAAAGCAGTCAATAGAATTACTTTCTGTATTCCATGGTTCTCATGAGGAACACTGGTGGAGAAGGCAAACATTTTTAAGGTTTTTGACACATTGCAAATGGCTTTCTAAAATAATTTCTTAAGTACTGTCAGTACCAAGCAATTGATTCTTGGTAATTCTTGGTAGTGTGGTTATTATATTTCAAATTGTATTATATATTATTTCTAACAACTGAATTATTTCTTCTTGGAAGTCAGGAAGTATGGCTTATAATAGCATGGTTATGAAGTAAAAAGACTGATTTTGACATGTGGATTGTGGAACTGGTTCCATGATTTCATAGCCACACTAAAGACTTTGTAATATTTCTCAGAGTATCTAGTGAACTGCCTTGTACACAGACCAATGAATGCTCTCCGAAAAGATTTATAAATTCAAAGGGAAAGTAGGAAGGGGTGAGGGGGCACTTCACAGGACCCTACAATGAATTCTTACAACCACTTTTATAGAGGAATGATGGGGGCGGGTGAAGGGAAAAATGAAACTGAGCTACCCTGGTTTTCTCATTTCCAACTCCCATACTTATAAAAATTCTCCTTTAATTCAAATCAGCTCACTTTTGTTATGTGTCTTTATTAATGTAACACTGTACTTATGAGTTTGTATACAACAGAAGATAGAGAATACACTGTGTGATATGTAAGTCAATGATGTGTTGGTATATCCAAACCAAGGAAATACCAAGTATGGGAGTAATCTTGGTTAGGGTGAGGCAAGGATGACTTGACAGACCCCCACACTCTTAATTAGAGCATATTTTAAGAGTAATTCATTTATCAATAGGTATGAAGATTGTGTGCAACTTTTTTCTTGCTATGCAGTTATAAACAATTGTGTAATAAGCATTATTATACATCACCCTTGGTATACAGGTCTAAATTATTTTTTAGGATATATGTTTGAACAGGGAACTGCTGTGTTGTGGGTACATGCACTTTCCAGTTTTATTAGATACCATTAAATTATTCTCACTAGAGAGGTACAAAGATTTTTGATTCCTAACAGTTCTTATTTGGCATTACTTCATATCATCACTGTAAAATTTTCACCAAATGTGCTGTAACCAAGAAATAACATTTTAAACAAGGAAAAAAAAGTAAAATTTTGCCAAATGAATAAGCATCTTTTCTTTTGTTCACTAGTAATTTGCTTTTTCCCTTCTGTGATTTTTTTCCTTTTTGAATTTTATTGGACAATTGAATTCTTTCTTTACATGTCTTCTCTGCTGCAAAACTGTGCACATCCCAAGTATTGAGATGGTACTTTATTCATTGCTGTATCTCTCCAGTGTCCAACACAATGTCTGACATACAAAGGAATTCTAAAATGAATACTGTATGAATCAGTTTCCAGGCCTAAAACTCATTTCTGAGTACCAATAGGTAAACCTTACTCTACACTTTCCTTCGACAGCACTTACTGAAATTAGCTGAGTGTTATTGTTTTCACTGAGAATTTAGGACTGAAAATTCCGGCCAATGACACTCAATAAATATTCACTGGTTATTTTATCCATGGAGGAATTGCAACAATGAGAAGGAATGTGGTTTGTCTACGGTCACAATAGGAGTGAGGGTCATAGTTAAAGACAGAGATCATCAGGTCATATAACTGTAGATCTGATCTCCATTTTCAAGGCCACACAAAGCTCCACTAAAAAAGAAAAAAAAATGTGAATGCATAACTTACCTGGTAGCCGTTTTCTACTGTGTTTTCCCATTTCAGTCTAGTAGAACAGCTGGCCAAGTTTTTTTGGTAGTAATTTTCATCTTCTTTTGTCAACTTCTCAGTCGATTTTTTCAATTTATTGAGGAGCTAAAGTAAAACATCAGCGTCACATATTCATTAACACATTTATGAAAGCCCTTTGTAATTCCACGTAATTTCGTTCATCCCAATGATACGCTTCTCATCTCCCAGCTAAAATCATGGAGTAGCTAGAGATGACAAAGTCAAACATCTTCTTCAGGAAAAAGGAATGTCAGAGCTGAAAGGAAACCAAAGGGCCTTTCAGTGTAATTCCTTCCATTTTTAATATGAGGAAATCAAGGTCCCTAAACATGATGTGATGTGCCCACCCGTGTTCATCAAGTCAAGGTGTGGGCTAAACAACAGGCGAGGAGAAGCTAGCATAGATCAGGAACCTTCAACTCAAGACTGTCATCTCCTAACAATTCCTATGGTCTTATTTGGTAAATCCTCTAAGTCCCGGCATTTCTTACCAGGACGGGTAGAGATATGAGCAATCATATAACTTCTAGAATTAGGATTAGGCCTGGCTATTATCCAGTAAGTTCCAATAACTTAACTTTCAATCTATAAACTCTGCAGTACAACTTCAAAATCAAATTTAAGGATTATAGTCCTGCAGGTGAATTACTTAACCTCTGTGAGCCAGTCTTCTTATCTATGTGATGGGAATAGTGATGCTCCTCCCTCACTGAGTGGCTTTGAGGATTCAAGCAGGTGATGCAGGTAAGGCACTTGGCACCCTGCCCAAGACCTGGGACAGCACAAGTTAGTGAGTATTGCTGTTCCTCGTGAAGAGCCTGAGCGAGACACATGCCAATGAGCACGAGAAGTTAAGGACAACTTGACAGATGCCTTCCTTTCCTTCTGCTTCCTAGCAATCTGCTCCTTCACAGAGAACCCCCTCTTGCCAATCACCAAAATTGACCATTCGGATTGTGAAATCTTCTGGAAAATCGAAGTAATACAAAACTCTCTGGACCAGGGTAGCTGAAATTGATTCTCAAAATGCTGAGACAAGTAATTTCGCATCTCTGAGAAAGGAAGAAGTTGTGTTACATGAATGACTCTCAAACTCTAATATGCCTAGAAATGACCTGAGGTGTTGAAAAACTGCAGATTTTCGGGGTCCCACCATAGCCATACTGAGTCAGTAGTTCTCCGGTGGGATCAGGAGATCTGAACGTCCACTACTTCCTCAGACGATTCTGATGCAAATGGTCCTCAGACCACAGTTTAAGGAGCACTAAAGATCCCTCTAACTTACAGTAGTTTAGGAGTTTCAAGAACAGAGATAAAGGCTTTTAAGAATGACCCTCTTTATGTCTAAGGACACTCTGACTAACGTTTGGGTAATGAAGAACATTCATCCAAAATTCTGAATATTAACACCACTTACTTTATTATTCCAACTGATATACTAGCCATTCAACTGTCCTTCAGCTCTGATGTATGACTTACACAGGACACATTTGCTTTTGTATATAAAATGTAATGGACCACATTTATCTATGGAAATATGAGCTTGTACATTTTAATCTGATAACAATATAGTGTAAGGGCTGAAAGTGTGCCTTGGCTCTTCTTTGCTAAATCATGTCCTTAGATTCTTATTGAGACTACTCAGACCTCCAGCAATGAGAACAAAGGTACTTTAGAGATGGCCACTGCCATTCATCAGCCTACACTATATAGCTATCGACCAGAAGTTTCTGCTCAGCAAATTTACCTCAAATATCCCCAAATCAATATAAAAGAAGAATGTAGACTCCTATATTCTTATTTAAGGAACTTTTCAGGAAACTTTACTAAAATTTGTCAAAGACTGCCTTCTTTTTCTTTCTTCTTTCCTTTCTCCTGGAACAAAAATCTCATTCATTCATCAAACATGTATTGAGTGTCACAATGTGTCCTGTACTAGGCTCTGGAAACAGGAAATGGGACTAGACAGGCTCCTTCTCTAGTCAGGGACCCACACTACTATTCTCTGTGCTAGATCCCAGGACAATATGAGTATTTAGGTATCAGTGGGGCACGAGAGAGGCACCCAAACTGGTCATGGAATTGAAATGACATGTAAGCTGAGACTTGGCACCTAGTGGGTGCTCACAGAAACAGTCCTTGTGTGAATAAACCTAAAATAAAAGTGAGTTGGTGAGCATGGCATGGCACCCAAAACATTTTTTTTGGTGAGGTTAGAGCACACAGTTTGAGAAACACTGTAGCAAAAGATGATGCTGAAAATTGGACAAGGGTCAAGGCAGGACCACATCAAGGAATTTGTACTTTATTCTCAGGTCACTGGGAAGACTTTGAAGGCTTTTAAAAGGAGAATAATATGCTCAGATTTGAGTTTCAGAAAAGTCAGCTTGACTGGTATATGGGAAATAGATAGAAAGAGGCAACACTGAAAGTCAAGAGACAATTGGTCAGTTACAGGGACCTAAGCAATGGCGCCGGTGGCCTGGGGAGAGGAGTGTCAGTGGAGGAAAAACAGGTCCATAGATAAATTCAAAAAGTATTTGGCTTAGGAGTTAGAATTGGGAGGATATGGGGGATGGTGATATTCAAAGATATAGAAAACACAAGAGTAAATAATATTTTTGGCAGATGGAAGTAATGGTTTCGATTTTGGATGCTGAATTTGATATGCCAAAGTGTAGTTCAGAGACTGGTTTGAGCTGAAGAGAGAAATGTGGGCATCGTCGGCATATATATTCTAGTTGAGGCCATGAGAGTATATTCACCGAGTGCCAATTACTTTTTGAGTACCTGATTCGAGAGTGCTCGTCGGCCACCAGAGATGCCGTGTTGAGTGAAGCCGAGTGGGGCTCAGGACAGAAACCTCCAGGGTCAGCAGTATGTAAAAGTCAGGAAGAAGGGAAGTCAGTAAAGAAGATTTTTTTAAAAATCGCCAGAAAAGAAAACCAACAGAATAAGAGCTTGCTGAGGTTAAAAGAAGAGACCGTTTCTGGAGTGGAGAAGTCAACCATGCTTAATGCTTCCAAGTTCAATAAGGTAAGAACTGGAAAGTCCCCGTCGGCTTTAGCAACAAGGATGCCTTTGTTTTCGGCAAGAGCTCTCTCAGTAGAATGGTGGCGAAAGCAGACTGGGGTGACTGGAGGAGTGAGCAGGAGACGAGGAAGTGAAGACAACACAGACAACTCTGTCAATATATCTTAGTGTACAAAGAAGGAGAGAGAATAGTATCTGGAGAGGAATAGAAAGAGGGCCATGGAAAGTTGTCTCCCCTACTCTCCTTAAATTCCCAAGATGGGGGGAGTTGAGAAGGCCGATGGGAAGGAACTGTTGGAGAGGGGCATGTCCTAGACACAGGGGAAAGGGGAAGAGTCAAGAGAAGCATCTCGGAGAGAGAGGATGAGATGGGAAACAGAGCACGTGCAGAATCGGCCTATCCCATTGCACATAAGACACAGCAAGCAGGTGGCTGTGCTGCCTTCTATTTTTTCTGAGAGGTAGGAGGCAGGACCGGCTGCTGAGAGTGGGCGGTGAGGATGGAGGTGCAAGGAGAAGGGAGGTTCAGATCAGCTTCTGGGGAGAACAAGGCCTGCTGAGCAGGAAAACAGGAGGAATTGCTGCATAGCATAGAAGCAGCTCAGCTCAGGCTGGAGATCATGGGCACCTCTGTGTGAGGTGTGAAAATGAATGCTGCTTGAGCTGTTTGGCTTTAGTACTAAAAAAAAAAAAAAAAAGCTAACAGGTAAAGCAACGAAGACGCCTGGGGGTCCTTGATGTAATGACTGCCAGGCTTAGGGTTACAGAATCAGCCGGAGGAGGGCTGGGGAGAAGGGCAGACTTCGACCTCCCAGGGAGGCTTCTAATGAGGGAAGGAAGAGGACATTCACCACTTAGCTGCCCATGCTCTTCCTTTTGCTATTGCTGGCGGGCAATACACAGCAGCCTTTACTGTGGGCTTTGAACGCCTATGACAGGTCCTGGTGCTTAGCATTTTAACAGACTGTGGGTTCACCTTCTTGAAAGCTGTCTCATTATTCAATACTTGTTATGATTATTTCAAATTGGGAAAACTGGCATGTGAAAAAATAAGAACCTTGTCAAATCTTGCTAATAATGAATGTAAGTTATTAAACTAAGAGTTTCTTCAGATGAAATAACAGCGTAACTTGGAATAACTAGGTTCTTCTTCTCTTAAGAATGTTTTGGGGTACAGGGGTGCTGACTGCATTTCCTTAGAGGGACTCCATTTTGGGGGGAAGATACCGATGATTTCAAAGCTTTCCAATCTCGGCACATACTACAAGAGGTGTGTGAGATAATCTGTTGGGCTTATTTGCGTCCATTTTTGCCTAAAGCTTCCTCTTATTTAACATATGAATTGACAGTGGTGCCCGCACATGGACGGTTGTGGATTCTGAAGTGTCCCAGAGCATGAGTGGGGTTTTACAATATGAGAAGGTGTCAACATCCCGGGACATGTGGCCATTGACATGTGTCTGCGTCACGTGGATTTACAGATTTATTATCTAGCTATGATTAGGCTAATACACACACAATGCACAAGTCTCTTAAAAAGGTTTCTGTCGAGCAGCCATAGTTTGGCGCTAACACTAACAGTGTGAGCACGAGGAGGCGGCAGGAAATGCCAGGAGCGTTCTCCTGCTCCGGGTTACGAGCGCGTCCTCACCCCCGTGAGGGGGCAAGCACGGCCATGAGCTAGTGAGACCTGACAAGTAGGTGACCAAAATTAAAATTATTAAGAAGACTATCAGAAATATGAATTTATGTTTACTATGATTAAGGCTGAATGCTGCCCCAAGTGTGTGTTTGTGCCTGGAACTGTCAATGATGATGTAAAGATCTGATGACTGGCTAATCATTTAAAATATGAAAATATGATTTCATCTTTACCTCATCCTTCACACATTTCTACATTTTTCATATTTTATAATGTTCATAACATATTAGTATAATATATAAAGTACTATTATTACATACAACATAGGTAAAGTATATTATATAATAACTCTGTGTGTGTGTGTGTGTGTATTTACTTATATGGGGTGAGAGGTGAGAGATGTTTAGATAACAGGGTTCCTGTCCAGCCAATGTGGCTCAGTGGTTGAGCGTTGACCCATGCAGGAGTCACTGGTTCAATTCCCGGTCAGGACACATGCCCAGGTTGTGGGCCCAATCACCAGTGGGGGGCATGCAGGAGGCAGCCAGTCTATGTTCTCTCTCACTGATGTTTCTATCTCTCTCTCCCTCTCCCTTCCTCTCTCGCTTTCTCTCTCAAATAAATAAAATTTAAAAAGTAGGGTTCCTATAAAAAATGTGGACGCTCTTGTATTCATAACTACAGGCAGGGAGCCCAACACCTCCAGCCTCAGGCACCCAGCTGGCCATGGTGCATTACCTTCTGCTTCTCCCTGTTGGTCACCGTTTGCTTGGAGCTTTCTACAAGATGGAAAAGTGCTTCATGCTTCCTGGTACTCTCCATTAACTTCTTTTTTGCCTGGAGTGAAAAAAAAAACCCACAAACATAAAGAAAAAAAAAAAAAAGGAGCAGAAACTGATATCAAGAGAAAAGCTCTTCTGTTCTGGAACACGTTAATGTGTATGTGCTAGCTTGAATGATTGTGTATTTTTAATTCTTCATTTCTGCCCTCACCTCATAATCTGCCTAAAATATTACAGCAGCTAATGTTTTGCCCTGAGAACCACTGTATGTATTTTCATTATAATGGGCACACTCAAGAGGGTTGTACATTTTGCTAAATTGCCAAAGGCCTGCAAACCTCCAGAACATTATTCTAGCTAACGTGATGGGAGGGAATGGGTTTTCCAGCAAAAAAAGAATCACACAACAAACATGCAAGATCACCTGTGTCATTCTTTTGAATCAACCTGGGCCACAGTTGAGGTTGTTTTAAGATGCTTTCTTAAAACTTACAGCAAAGGGGACATTTTGCTACCTGATGACCAGGCTTGAGAGCTGGGCATTTGCCTGGCACCTTGCGACATGCTCTGCATTTGTGGGAAGAAAGAAACATTCAAAGTCCCCCTATTCTATTGATGCCTCAAACCTCAGAACAGGTTATGATTCAGGCGATCATTTTTTATTCTACGCCGTTCCAGTTTGGCAGGAGGTGATGCTCCAGAGATCAAATAAACAGCATTCAGAATGAGTTGTATTCAGCCTGTTTCAGAAACTGGGTTGATTGAAAGACTGTATGGTTTTTCATCTCAAGATTGCAAAAAACGTAAAACTAGATAATGAAGGAAAAGCTTGGGTTTCTCCTTCGGTATCATAGGCAAAGGCTTCTGAAAGTCTCTAAACGTGTGTGAAGTCTCTACAAAAGGGAATTCAAGGAGCCAGAAGCTCCTAGACTCTTTTCCTCCACCTTCAGCCAGTCACGTGCCCACCGGTAAAGGAAAGAGCGAGGCAAAAGCATTGGTTCTGGAAGGCTTTTTATCTGTGTCTCCAGGACAGATGGCACTTCTTGCTGACACGCTCAACCCGTTGAATTGTGACTGGGGAGAAAATTATTGTAGCTCAAAAATTTTATGTTCTCTAATTTCTCTGTCACTCTTTATAAAAAATAAGATCGTTTTTATATGGAAAAATTAGTTGAGAAAAACCGAAAGATGCTCTTAGTTCTTGCATTTGCTGAGCATGGTTTCTCTCTTCTGGCCCATGATATTGACTCTCCTGGGAAAGCTGAATATTTAGAGCATGGATTTTTAAAAACAAATTCTGTTTAAGAAAGCTTATAAAATCAAGAGCAAAAGTAAAAACAAGAGACTGGATGCTGTTTATGAGACTGTTAAATATGTATTTATGGCCCTGGTGGGTTTGGCTCAGCAGTTGGAGCGTCGGCCCACGGACCAGAGAGACCCGGGTTCGGTTCCTGCTAAGGGCATGTATCTTTGTTACAGTCTGTCCCCGGCCCTGGTTGGAGTCAGGCAGGTGGCAGCCAGTCGGTGTATCTCTCTCATGTTGATGTTTCTCTCTCTTCTCCCCTCTCTCCCTCCCACTCCATCTGAAGATGAATGGAAAAATGTCCTCGGGTGAGGATAAAAATAAAAATGTATTCTAGGTGTGATTCTCACGAGCCTCCTTTTATCAGTACTACATTGTGGGCATAGGAATTCATTTATCTCAAACATTTCTTATTAATGTCTTGGATCCCATGGGGCCTTTGATTGCTGCAGAGTCTTCTGCGGCCACACTGAGGGTGTGGCTGCCTGTTTCTGAGGGCGTCTCCGGCTACTTATACAGACGAGGGGCCGTCTACCTGGGAAGCTTCTCTCTGGGGTCTGACACTTTGGAGATTAAAAAATAGAGAGAATTTCAACTTCTGGAGCACACGTCCTTTCAAAGAGGGTCCTGAGGTTTTCTTGGAGATTCCCTCTCTAGCCCTTTCTTCTCAAAATGGATTCCTCTGAAACTGGATTGTTTTAGAATAATCTTCTGCGTGTGTAGATATGGGCTCCATCTGTTATTCTTTCTGCTTAAGAACCTATCACGATACGCTCTAAATTCTTACCCCAGATCACAATTTCGCTCCTTAGAGTCCACTGACTATTTCCTGCACATAAGTTACCTATTAACTACATTTAAAATTACTTGGAAGCAAGAACCACGTCTTGGTACAGTGTGGCCCACAGAGGCGGGCCATACAGACGGGTGGCATCACCGTATCTGTGCATTTCCCTCCGGGCGGCGCCACCCACCCTCCAGTGCTCCTCTCACTCGTGGATGAATGACCAACCCAAACGCAGGCAGCACCGGCCACTTGCCCTAAGTTACAGATTATACACACAGGCAGGCCCTGCAGTGAAATGATTAAGAGTAGTGACCCTGGAGTCCAACAACTTGTAACGCTTCTTGGTTAGAGCATTAATCAGCTCTGTCACTTTAGGCAAATGGTTTACCTCTCTGTATCTGTCCCCCCACCCATCTTTAAAATGGGACAGTACAGGTCACACACCACAGTGGGTTGCTGTGATGATTAAATTTGTAATGTATCGCACTTGGCACACAATAAATGCTACGTGCGTGTTGGCTATCAGTAATAACCATGTTTAGAGCCCTGCTCTTCCATTGGTTGCGTTGAAAAATGTATCTACATAATATCTCAAGCAAGAACGTGTTTTCGTCCTGTTAGCACTTAGAGATACTAACACTGGAGCTCATGATCACATGTGTGCAGAAGCAAAAAACATCAGTCCTAAACATTGAGTTCACACAGAAAATATGTGTGTTACCTTCATTTGTTGATTCCAGTTGCTAATGAAAAGATTTGCTGTCTTTTCAACTTCATTATCAAGCTTTGAAGAGAAAAAAAGAAAAAATTGCTGTCCTGTGGTTGAGTCACATTATATTTTACGGTGCTGGCTTGTCAGCTGTAGCACAATCACTGTCACAATTCATGGACATCTCGAAGTTCTGCAGTGGACATATTTACTGGGAAAGGTAGCCAGACTGTCTATTCCCCCGCCAAGAAGCTCTTGACAGAATTTAGCCTGAATGCATTTGGTAAAATAATTGTTTCTAACATATAACTACATGAAAACAACATACATGTGTACAGTCTGTGTGGAGGAGCATCTTGCATAGTTTGGTGTTGTATCCGTCTCATCACTTCCTCTTCAGCATCCTTCCACGTGGCCCAGACTTTAACACCACGAGAATCGGGATCAGCCCTCGCAGTGCTAATTTCACTAAGAGTCTCATTACCTCTGAAGTGAATATTGTTTTAGCTTCAAAGAGATAGAATTCTTCATCGTAATTAATTTTCTTCCCTACTGTAAACAGCCACCGGGACAGTAGCATTAATGATGAAACCGGATCCCGACAACCCCCTCAGGAGGTCACACTTACGCTAGGGCAGAACCTTTGTCCCTGGACCACTGACGTCACCCCCACCCCCACCCCAGATCAGCTGTGGTCAGCCACTTGGCGATCTAGCAATACTGCACTGGGATTTGTTTCCAGTTGGTTCCATTTGGAATATATGCTTTATTGTAACAAGCACAGTGAAAATAACTTTATGCTTTATGCCATTTTTTGCTCCATGTTTGTGGCTGAAGTGTGGGAAGAGTTCACTTTTGAAAAAATTGTAATCTCTCTTTTGTGTGAGAGCAGGAGGAGTGGGAGGGGCAAAGCGGAAAAGAAGATTTCAAAGCGGAACAGCAGTTCAGAGGATCGGGACATTAATACCTAAGGCACCGGGGTAATGATCAAAGCTCGGTGACAGATTTACGGTAAGTGCTAAGAAAATGCTAGTAATGATCATACGATCATATGATGTAAAAACATTTATTCATGAATGAAATGTAGACTTGGGTTTGGATTTAATTAAGGTGGTTTGCAAAGGTAGATGATTCTATTGCTTCCTAGTAATTCTTGCAAATTTCTTCCATCCCCCTAGCCCTCAGTAGAACATCCGTTCTGGTAAAAACACAGATATGTCCACACAAGCATCAATTTCACTTCCTGACAGAGTTTTTAATAAGTTTGAGTAAATTTTCAAAAATCGTTTTTCTTCCATCAAGACATTTGCAAATCCCCTCATCTTACCGACTTAGTACCTTTCAAAGCTGCTTTATCTGGCTGCGATCACTCGAATCTCCCCTTGGCCACAGCCCCTGCCCTTCACAAGGATCACCTATTACTGCTCGGAACTTCTCACCGGCACCTGGTCTTGAAATAGTGAACCTGATCCCCCCTCCCCCCAGAGCTAAGCAACTTTTATGAAACACTCCTCATGTTGCCTAAAAATATATTTGAAAGTGCTTAACAACTGCATGACACATGAATAAAAGAAAAACGAGCACAAAAGAAACTGTTTTGGCAGGAAGCTACCCAAATAGGCTAGAGAACATGATATACAAGAGGAGCAGATGCCCCTGAAGGAATTGCTTAGCTCTTTTTCTTCACGTGCAGGCTGTTTGAAGATTTATTCCTATTATTGCCTTTACCTAGTCCCAAGCTGATAAGCAGAGAACAGCATTTCTTTTAAATCTGCTTATATATTTTTTATTTATGAAAGGATTATCTATTCATCGAAAAACAGTGGAAATACAAAAAAGTATAAAAAATGAAATACAAATGACCTCTAATTCCACATTAACAGTCTGGGGAGGTTCTCTAAGGTATTTTTCTTTGCATATATACACACATATTTATTTTACAAAATTGAGGTCATATTGATAGTTTTTTTTTTCCATCCTGCTTTTTTATTTAACACTCTATAATGGGGGGGGATCCTCATGGCTTTAAATTGTTCTTTGATAAGATCTTTAGTGGTTGCATAGTATTCCATTGCTTGAATTTATCGTAATTTATTTGAGATGATGAAGAAGTTCCCAGTTTTTCACCATTACAAAAATGTTTCAGCAAACATCCTCGTACATAAGTTTTGGGGTTTGTTTTTATTTTTATGACAAATTTATGAATCCTAGTATCATTTTTTGATCACCTTTTATTTCTCGAGCCAAAGACAGAAATCTGCTTAAACAGGGGAGAAAGAAAGATTCCGACTCACTGATTTTCTCTTCTTCTCATGTACACTCAGGACTTGATGAGTGGGTTTTACTGCCTCCAACTCAATTGCTTTGCTAAGTTTTCTGGAAATGAAACATAAGAGACACACAAGTATAGGATTAGGATTTATATCTACTTTCCAAATTATTTTCTGGGGAAATAAAATGGTGTGTTATGGCAAGTTTGAAGTGGAGGATGGTCGCGCACACACATTAACTATTCACGACTCCCTTGGGGTTGGAGCGGGGCTGGGTGGGGCACTCACTGATGCAGGTCCGCCGCAGACTTCATGCCCTCCGAGACCCAGGCCCAGGCACTGACGACACAGCTGGGGGCACAAACAGGGACAAGGTGCGTCATTCTCCCAGAAAGTTCATGCATCGCATTCAGCCATTGCACTCATATCCCTAATCTTATTTCAGTTTCCTCGTGGGACTAACTGCTGGCAACATTATTTATTTGCACTATACTCATTACACAAACTGCTATTTTCAGTCATTTGTTATTGTGATTTTCATTTTCTATTTCATGTCTGTAGAAAATCGGGAAATAAAGCAGCCAAGGCCGAGAAGGCAGTTAGAGCAAGCAGGAGGCAGCATGCTAGGAGCAGAAGGCCCTTAAAGACCATTTTTCAGGATCCTGATTTCACAGATGACAAACTGAAGCTCAGAGAAGTTAGGTGGCAGAGGATTTGAGCCCTGATCACTCCTGCGTGCTGCTCTCGGGGTCGGGGATTCAGATCCAGCTCCCTGTTGGCTTTTAGGACAATTCAGATCTTTTTTTTTTTTATCCTCACCCGAGGACATTTTTCCATTTTTTGTTCAGGTAGAGTGGGAGGGAGAGAGAGGAACAGAGAGAGAGAGAAAAACATCGACGTGAAAGGAACACATCGAGTGGCTGCCACCCGCATGACCGACCAGGGCCGGGGACAAACTGCAACCGAGGTACGCGCCCTTAGCGGGAACCGAACCCGGGTCTCTCAGGACCGTAGGTCGATGCTCTGACCGCTGAGCCAAACCGGCCAGGGCCAATTCAGATCTTTTATGGTCTGTAGCAGTATCTCAGTTTAAGAAGGATGACAATGCATGGTCCTTAGCACAGAGGGAGGATTAGGAAGTGTGATACTATTTTCTCCTATGGAAGGGGCGTAGCTCACAGCAGCCTTCAAAAGTTGGAACGATAAGCAAAATTGCACTAATAACATCAGGTACAGAAGACTGTGTAGCCTTTGATGGAGGGGGAGCGGACAGCTCAGTGCCTTTATGGAAATCAGGATGGTGCAGATGTTTTTGCCTCCAAATGACTTAGGTTGCACCCAATAGTCAGATAAGAGGAGAAGTAGATCAAAGGACGCCAGATTTTCTGCATAGCCAAAGCCAGGCACAAAACCAGGCACAACAGCGTATTTATTGTATGCTCCAATTATAGGAAATGCCAAAGACAAAATGAATCTATATATTGACAGGAAGCAGATAGGTGGTTGCTTGGGACCAGGTGTGGAGAGGGTTGCAAACAGGCATGAGGAATCTTTTGTGTGATGAAAATGTCTCTGAGTTGATTTTGGTGGTGGCTACATAGTGTATACATTCATCCAAATCAACCAAACGGTACGCTTAAAACGGGTACTTGTTATTGCATGCAAATTAAACCTCAACTGAGTTGATTTTTTAAAAAAGGAAGCCAGCCCCGGCCAGGTGGCTCTGTTGGTTGGAGGGCTGTCCCATACACCAGAAGTTGCAGGTTCCATTCCCAGTCAGGTTGCATTTGATTCCCTGTTCAGGGCGAACACAGGGCAACCAATGAGTGTTTCTCACATCGATGTTCTTCTTCCCCTCTCTCCCTCTCGCTTTTTAAAATCAATAAAAACATATCCTCAGATAAAGATTTTAAAAAAAGGAATCCAAGCACACTTTGGGGAAGAGAACCTGACATTTTGCCTCAGAACAACAGAGCAGGGAGCAAGGGTGTGGGCTTTAGCGGAGTCTGTCTAAATGCACACGCTCCCCTTAGTTTCTGGTGTGAGCTTGGAGGGATCACTTGATTTCTCTGACCCTTACTTAGTTGAACTTTTAAAATATAAATAATGTGGATTATTTATACAAGTACCTAACTCAGATCTGGTTACTGATAAAAGTTCAATTAATGTTTATTATTAAATATTATTGCGCTAATCCTGGTTAACCAAACATTCTCGACATGCCAACTCTCTGGGAGTACAGGCTAGATGCTAGGGCTGCAGTACAATAAAACACACCCCCTCCACCCCTGTAGACCTTTTGTTCTTGAGGAGGTAATTAGAATCAAAATCATAATGAACACTTATGGGACTTTGGCTCTGTCCCAGGTAGTAAACACACTTCTTGTATTATCTCATTTAATTCTCACAGCAATTATGTGAGGTAGGTTTTATTTTCTCTTTAAATAGACACTGAGAGGTAAGGTACATTTTCCTAATTCACCTTCCTGGTACATGGTAGAGCTCGAATGTAAACCCAGGCAGGCTAAATGAAGTCTATCTCTACTCAACCACTGTGCTGTACTGACTCCTTTGTAGTCTACTAAAATACCATCCTAAAAACCAAGCAATTTCAAAGTCAATATTTGCTGTTACAGATGATGCCTAAAGAGGAATAAGGATGTGAATTCCCAAAGTATTCCTTTTTTTCTTTTCCTCTCATTCACCACCAAAGAGGCTTTTGCAATGGCATTGCCAGTGTGGGCTCACATCTGCAAGCGTTAGTCAAAAATCTTCATAACAAATGATCACTAATAGGCCATTCTTTCTTCTCTCCCCTCAAAGAAGGAATCAACTTCCTTCTGAAATGTATTCAGGAAGATGGGAACCAACATTTTTTCAGCACCCATTGTTCTGATCTCTTCCCATACGTTTTTCTCATTTACTATGCACCCACCCCATACAGACACATGCACACACACAATGGAGACTATATCACTATTCCATCTAATAATGGAGGAAATCAAGGCACAGAGAGGCCAGATTATTTGTTGAAGGTCAGAGTTGAAATAACTCTTTTTGACTCCAAGACACTCCAACTTAACACTGCTAAGTTAACCATCATCATCGAGACCTAGTACATAGATGGACTGAGGAGTCATAAAGACGGGCTGAACCCAGCTCTGCACCTCCTTATCTGTGTGACTCAAGACCCTGTCTGTAATAGGGACACCAGTAAGACTTCTCAAGGGTTTTGAGGGTTAAGTGAGTGTCTATAAAAGCATTTAACAAATAGTAAGTGCCCAAGAACTAGAAGCCATGCTTGACATTATGTACCGGCCATCTTTATAACAGGAAGCTGGAATTGAACAAATGACACTTTTTGTTATCTTCAAGAATGATTTTACCTTACCTCTTTCATATACTTACCTTTTCTTTGTGTTCTGTAATGCTTTGCTCAGCTTAATTGCCAGTTTCTGAAGTCCTTTGGCATAGTTAAACTCCAAGTTTGCCCTGTTGGCAAAGAGATAGTTAGGATGCGCTGGCCAGAAATCAAATACCGCCCCCTTCCCCCACCACCACCCACACACACAAGGAAGAGAACTCAGGCTGACATTACAATGCCTACATAAACAAGAGACTCTCTATTTACTAGAAAGTTCCTCTTATCTTAAACGTGATCCTTAAGGCTTTCTAAGAGGCTCCTACAAGGGGAGAGAGTTTATTTACTTGACTTTCTTGTACACTAGTATTATGAGTTGAATTGTACCTCTTTCCTGAAGGTGTTGAAATCCTAAACCCTAGAGCCCAAGAATGTGGCCCTTTTTTGCAGACCACCAAATTAAGACGAGGTCGTCAAGGCTCTTATAAAAAGGGGGAATTTGAACATGTAGACAGACGCACACACACAGGAAGAACGCCACATGAAGATGAAGGTAAAGATCAGGGTGATGTATCTACACACCAAGGAATGCCAAGATTGTCAGCAAACCACCAGAAGCTAGGAGAGAGGCACTGAACAGATTCTGTCTCACAGACCTCAGATGGAGTCAACCTGGCCAATATCATGGCCTCAGATTTCAGAATTTCTGTGGTTTAAGCTACCCAGTCTGTGGTCCCTTGTTACAGCAGTCCTAGCAAACTGCTCCAGCTGGTAGGGAACAAAAGACTTCCCTACTTATCCTGGGACATTAATACTATCAGATTAGCTCTAAATTATAGTGGATAAAGTAATAAATTATGATGGTGTTAACCATTTAGCTTTCTAAATGCAAAGGTGCTAAGGAGGCTGACACAAGATTTAGAAAATGAATGGCTATTACTTTTTGTGCAGGACAAGACTCAGTGGGGAATCTGGGCATGCCCTTCAGAAGACAGCTCCTTGGTTCTTTTGGATAGATTGAATCACTCTCATCTTGAACTGATTTTACCATGTTTTACTTATCTACAGATAAAGTGAAAATATTCTTATTCATCTCACTTTTCACTGAAGAAAATACAAATGTAGAAAATTAAATTCAGTTTATATTGTTTTTCTTTTTTTTGTTGTTAATCCTCACCTGAGGATATTTTTTCCATTGATTTTTATTTATTTTTTTTTTTTTTAATCCTCATCCGAGGACATTTTTCCATTCTTTGTACAGACAGAGTGGGAGGGAGAGAGAGGAAGAGAGAGAGAGGGAAACATCGATGTGAAAGGGACACATCGAGTGGCTGCCACCCGCACGACCAACCAGGGCCGGGGACAAAGTGCAACCGAGGTACATGCCCTTAGCGGGAACCGAACCCGGGTCTCTCCGGACCGCAGGCGGATGCTCTAATCGCTGAGCCAAACCGGCCAGGGCTCCATTGATTTTTAGATAGAGTGGAAGGGAGGGAGGGAGAGAGAGAGAGAGAGAGAGAGACAGAGAGAGAAACATCAATGTGAGAGAGATACATCAGTTGGTTGCCTTCCATATGACTCTGACCAGGGCTGGGGACATACCTGCAAACCAGGAACGTGCCCTTGACTTGAAATTGAACCTGAGACTCTTCGGTCCTCAGGCCAATGCTCTAACCACTGAGCAAAATCGGCCAGGGCTATATTATTTTCCTTCTTATGGACCAGAGAGGTTTTCATTGCATATTTTTCATTTTTTAAATTCTACTTTTATTATAAAATATCATTAGAATTATGTATGACTTAATTTCATTTGTGATACAGTCCCAGAACTCTCTAGTAACTAATTTCACACCTGCACTCCCTCCCTCCACACAAATTAGACTCAGTGTTATAAACTGGACAGGCAAAGACAGCTCTCTTTCATGAAATGAAATCCAGAGATTATGAGCTATTGAACTATTGCTAAATTTCTATTTACTTTTCCCTGTTAGTATAGCTGTGTTCTAAGAAGTTTTTATTCTTCACCACTTTTTGAAAGAACAAAGGCCATTGTAGGATGCATATCAAGGTCACAGTGCAAAAAACACCCACTTGGTATCAAGACTTGCCCAAGTGTGAGGAAAAGGTTAAGTCAAGTATTTTAAAGTAATAAAGCTGATGAATAAATATCTCATTGCAGGTAAAAACAGATATATCACTCTGGCTCAGCAGTTAGAGCATTGGCCCATGGACTGAAGGGTCATGGGTTCCATTCCCAGTCAAGGGCACGTACCTAGGTTGCAGGTTCCATCACCGGCCCCATGTGGGAGCAACCAATCAATGTGTTTCTCTCACATTAATGTTTCTCTCTCGCTCTCTCGCTCTCTCTCTCCCTTCCTCCCTTCCACTCTATCTAAAAATCAATGGAAAAATATTCTTGGGTGAGGATTAACCAAAAAAACAAAACAAAAACAAAACAGATTTCTCTGCTCTAGGAATATGTTTCAGTTGCTGGAGAGATAGTGGAGAGGATGCTGGTCAGCAGCAAGCTGGGAGAGATCATCATGCTTGATGAACTTTAATCCCAGGAGACTGCTACCATTCAGTGGGGTGGCTTTAGGCAATGTAAAGGGAGTAATTTAGTCCTACATTGGTAGTTTTGTGATAATTAAAATATGGTAATGAGCCAAGCTTAGGAGGGACTCAAAAACTGGAAAGATTGCTATTGACCTGCATGACCTGACCCCTGGTTTCCTCTCTGTTTTCCTGTCCTACAAGTTTTCCCCTTGCTCACTGTACTCTGCTGGTGGCCATCCTGCCTCAGGGCCCTTGCACTTGCTGTAGCTTCTGCTGAGTATGCCTTCTGCTACACAATCATATGACATTCTCCTTCATGTAAACACCATCCGGACTTGCTCGAACATCACCACCTCAGTCTACCATATCTAAAAGCATCCTTGTTACTATCCCCTTACACCTTTATTCATGTCTTAGGACTTATCACTACCTTAAGTCACATATTTTTTCAGTGTACTTTGATGAACACCTCTAGAATGTAAGCTCCGTGAGGGTCTAGAATTTGTTTTGTTCATTGCTATATAGCTAAGTCTAGAACAATGCTTGGTATGTGTGTAAATGAATCAATGGATGGACTTTCCATCAGGTGTTTTTTTTGTTTTGTTTTTTTTAATTCTAATTGCCCTGCCCTGGCCGGTTTGGCTTAGTGGTTGGAGCATCGATCTGCGGTCCAGAGAGACCCAGGTTCGGTTCCCGCTAAGGGCACATACCTCGGTTGCAGTTTGTCCCCGGCCCTGATTGGGTTACGTGGGTGGCGGCCACTCAATGTGTCCCTTTCATGTCGATGTTTCTCTCTCTCTCTCTTCCTCTCTCTCCCTCCCACTCTATCTGAACAAAAGATGGAAAAATGTCCTCGGGTGAGGATTAAAAAAAAATTCTAATTGACCTGACTAGGGATTGAACTGCAACTCAAGTATGTGCCCTGACTGGGAATCGAACCAGGAACCATTTGGTGCATAGGATGACACTCAACCAACTGAGCCACACCTGCCAGGGCTCCATCAGGTCATAGTTAGAATGTCTAACTGGTTTCTGCTACAAGTATGTTCTCACTTCATCACTTTTGAGAGCTTGAAATTGCCAAACTATTTGGATGTATTCCTACAAGTCTCAGCCCTGACATCAGAGCACACGGCTTTCTAGCACTTGGAATAGCTAGGCACAGAAATCCTTTCCCAGTCCATTGCTAAGCAGGGGCTCTTCAGAATGTTCCTCCCCAGCAGTCTTTCTTGGAACCAGCACATAGAGCATTACATCTGCTGAAGCATTCGCAGTCCTCATCTCACAGCTGGGCACCAAACAAGTTCCTAATAAATATTACCTTTTCTAATATGATTATTATCACGTACCCCAAAGGATCTCTAAACATTCAGAACACCCCAGATGTACAGAGACGGGAGGTGTGGGGGAAAGAACCCACAGCCTGCTCATCCATCAGCTCCAGAACAACCGGAATGCCTTCCAACAGGGAAGGTTAATGCTGGCAGACACGGCCTCTTCCTCAGAACTCAGTTTCACTTTTAGAGTGTTCTTGCAGGCTGTACAACGTGTTCCGAGGCTAAACAGAAATAAAAAGAACAATACCCGGAAGGAAGTGCTGTTTTCCTTTAAATCACTAACTTACTCAGATCTACCTGGGGGAACATGTTGGGTTTTGGTGGCAAGAAAGGGAGAGGAGTCCAGCCGGTGTGGCTCAGTGGTTGGGCATCGACCCACACACCAAGAGGTCGCCAGTTCAATTCCCGGTCAGGACACATGCCCAGGTTGTGGGCCTGATCCCCAGTGGGGGCCAATCAATGTTCTCATTGATGTTTCCATCTCTCCCTCTCACTTCTACTCTCTCTAAAATCAATAAAGCTCACTTTTAAGCTATTGCTCTTCTGAGTTGAGCCTGGACATCTCTACTCCTGAGCTCCAGGATTTCTGTTGGCTTTTGCTGGAGCACAGGAAACCAGCCTGAAGAGTCAATAACCACACAGCATTTCTTGCTTTGGAAGCTTTCTCTTTATATACAAATGTCTTAGAAGTACGCAACAGGGCAAATTTGTGTACATTTTTTTACAGGTTGGTAGATAGTTTATAAATGCCAAGCTGTGCTCTCCTGACAAATGTGTTGCCTATGTTCTTGCCTATATACAAAATTGTAACATGCAACATTTATTCGGCACTTACAATATGCCAGGCACCATTCTAAGTGTTTTAGGTGTTTCCTCATTTTATCTGTGATAACTCCCATCAGTAGGCTCTCTTACTCTACCCATTTCACAGAGAGGAATAGCAAGGCTCCAACAATTCTGTCAGTTACTTGCCAGGGGTCACCATGAAGAAGTGAGAGAGCTGGGATTCAAATCTGGCAGACAGGCCGGAGGACCTGCCCGCTTAGACACTCCAATCCCCTCTGAAACCGTAGGGAAGAGGCTGGAGATGGAGAGTTTCTGGGCAGTCAAAGATAAGTACTTTTAAAGATTGATGCCACCTCTCCCTTTGCCTTTAGTTGCAACGTTTCTGAATCACCATAGCTCCTGGTAGCTTAGCAGCCTCAGTGCAGACGATGAGTTTCCCAGGGCTTCCAACA